GGGTGTGTGCATATAAACCAACCCTTAAAGATATCCTCCATTGTTAACTCCCTTAAAATGTAATGTCCTGGATAAGATATGTAATTGTCTTTTGAACAAGCCAGCCACATTTTATTTACCTGGTTCACTCATCAAGAGCTGGATTACAAAGTCAACTATGCAACCCTTACAGTACTGAAGATAACCTCTATTCTAAATATTGAAGACCTGATCCAGTCTGTTTGTGGCATATGCATCAGACCTGGAAGAAAAAGACATAAATCAACATCAGCATCAGGATAAACTATCTAAAGTCAGGGGTTTCAAGCAGCCAGCTGGCTAAATTAGAGACTGTAAAAATGTGTAAACAGCTGTATCAATGAGGGGCCCATAAGTTGCTCTTTAATTTCTAGGGTGTTTTTTTCTTGGGGCATGCTTCCCAGAAGATCTTGAAATTTTTGAGGTACTAAAATAAATTCGTTAGTTGTTGGTGCTTATTGAAACATTACTACACCAGACCCTCTATAATTTCAGGGGATAGCCTGTGAGCAATTAAGCTTACCATTTGGGGGATATCATAAAAAGTAGAAGCACAAGAGGCACGCAAGAGGAGATGCGAAAGCAAGGGGCAAGGAGAGAAAGGAGCTAGCTTGCAATGATCACTGATAAATTTTCATTTCAACCTCGGAAACCCCGGGACATTGCAAAGCGTGAAGCTGTCACCACAAACGTGCCACAGATTAGAAAAGTGACAACTGCCTGTCAAGTTTAGACAGCCAAGGGCACTTAGAATTTATTTTTTATTAAATCACTTTTGCGACAGCTTTCCATTGCATCAAAGCCAAATGTTTTTTACCGCTGATATGTTTTTTTATCCACTGGACATGGAAAATCAGCGTGTCCACTCAGATAAGAACTCAATACTTTGATTCTCGCTTCGTTTACAGTTTAAAAGTCCTCCATATTCAGGAGACTAAGCTCCCCGTGGCAATCACCAACTAGGCTGATCACCAACATTATATAATTATTGTCCGTTCTGGAACTGGAAAACAGCGTTTTCCTGGACTAGGTTCTCTTATGTTTTACTCCAGTTCCTTCCTATTCTTTCTGTCTTTCTTCTTGATGGTCAACAGCTAATTCTTTGTCAGCTACACTGTCATGTATTTCTGAATTTTTCTACCCATTGGAATTCAATCAGGCAAAGAGGACCGACGTTGGAAAGCATCTATTCATGCTTATGACACAAGATCATCCTCCAAATATAATATGACTGTACATCAAAAAATTTAATCTTGAAAAACTACACTGAGTGTGTGTGCCGTAAGACAAGCAATCCCAATTTTTATAAAAATTATGGAATGAGATAACCCCTGAGAGATACAATGTATGAAAAAGAAATGTTTCAGCGAAAATTAATCAGTGTGCTCTTTGAAATATTAAAAGACAATTTTTATGATTACCTTGATGAAACTATGATAACGCAAGAAATAAAATTGCAAAATCCTTATTATAACCTTAGCTTCTTTCACCGTTGCATTGCACAAATTTGTCTTTCTTGTTTTTGAAAGACAAAAGGGTGGTCTTTTTCTTGGGGCATGCGCGTGCCTTCCCCAGAAAACCTTGAAATTTTAAAGCACTGAAATGCATTTGTCAGTTGTTGGTGCTTATTGAAACATTACTAGGGTGGAACCTCTGTTCAGGGCTGGGGACACCCTCAGAACTGAGAAAAACTGTCGGGACTGTCCCCTGAATACACTGTAGAAGTATCCCTTGAATAGAGGTTGGGCAAGGGTTTGCTAATAATTGACCAAACAAGGATTTATTTAAGTTCTGGAATCTGCTGCAGTTATCATTTTTTAAGCAGCTGAATAAAAAAATCACAGTAACACAATAACTTTTTTCCAACAAATTGTTCCATTGTTGTTCCTACAAGTGCAGTAAATCAATTTTAATTTAAAAGAGATTATAATTTATTGTTCATGTTGTGAAAGCTGCAATCATTGTGATCAGTGAATGCTTTAACTTATCAACCCTCTTGGTGGCTGCAGTCATGTTCTGAGTACTAATAAGGTGTCTCATGAATGAAGGAAAACCCTCAGATTCAAAAAATGTCCCTTTCCCCTGAATAGAGGCATCTCTTCAACAGAGCTAACAGATAAAAAGATTATGTGAATATTTGCCCGGGGCCAAATTTCACGTCCCCTGGATGGAAGTGTCCCTTGAATAGACTGTGGTGTTTTAATGAAGAGGTTCTACTGAATAATATATTCTATAAATTTTATCAGTCCAATTAAGAACCAATACTTATAAAACAGGCCCCGGTTCCTGAAAAACTGATTAATCTATCTTCTGATAAACAGTTAATCCACGATTAAATTTCTTATTCCCCGGATAACTAAATGTCGGTTAAAAAGTATCCTGCAATTAACTAATCCCAGATTAGTGCCAAAATCCGGTTTAATGATTTTTTTCGACTGCCTGCTTCTAAAAAGAATAATTATATGACACAAAAAATTGGCGACAGCGCATGGTTTCTTCTGCTTTTGGAGATCGTCTTTTAGTATTTCTACTAGTTATTTGATTGACTCTCTGTCAAACCATTCTGCTGCGAAGTTCTTCGTCTATTAGTTGGTAGAGGTCAATTTCTTGCTGTTGGAACTTTCTTTTGCATATTAGTGAAACAGTAAGTCCGCCATTTTGCAAATTTTGACAAACTTTTTGCCCCGATTAGTGAGTTAAGCGTCCTTGCTTGGTGGGTTAAATTTAACATGTAGTTTATGTCAGATTAGTCTTAATGGTGCTTTCAGGAACAGAATCTAATCGAGGGATAAAATTTATTCTACGATTAGGGATATTTAATCCTGAATTAGTGATAACGTAGTTACTAAAACATGGAACGACCTAAAACCACCTAAAACCATCTACAACCATCTACAACCACCTACAACCACCTCAAAAAATTCAACAACCACCTACAACCATCTACAACCACCTCAAAAACATCTACAACCACTCGTAAACAATCTAAAACCATCTAAAACAAGATATAAATGTCTGAAATAAGGCGAGACGACAACATGTCACGTACATGAAATACGAGAATCGGACAAAACATCCACTTCCCGCTAAAATCTTGTATCATCAACCATTGGCTTAACACAACACTAAGAAATAAGATTGCATTATAGATTTTTTTAATAACATTTTTAACAATGATTACACCTAGTCTCCGTTTCCCGTGTCGTGACGCAAGGGAGTTTAGCCTTGCGTGATGACACAGGAAACGGGTGTGAAAGACACTAGAAAAAGCCAAATCAAGTCAAGGGACCAGGGAGAGTAAGATTTTAGGGGGAAGTGGATGTTTTGTTCGATTCTCGTATTTCATATACGTGACATGTTGTCGTCTCGCCTTATTTCAGACATTTATACCTTGTTTTAGATGGTTTTAGATTGTTTGCGAGTGGTTGTAGATGTTTTTGAGGTGGTTGTAGATGGTTGTAGGTGGTTGTTGAATTTTTTGAGGTGGTTGTAGGTGGTTGTAGATGGTTTTAGGTGGTTTTAGGTGGTTTTAGGTCGTTCCATGTTTTAGTAACTACGTTAGTGATAATCGGCTTTCCAGGAACAGTGGCAAGAGCTATTATTTATATTTACATCAATAATAACAATAATAATAATAACATCATTCAATAAGGATAAACACATAACATTCAGATACTGACAATAAGTTAATATTTATAGACCTTAAGACCTTAAGAGTCATTGTCAGAGAAAACCGGGCGGTGCCAAAAGATTGGGGTCAGCCGATTTCCTTTATTTTTTCAGCATTAAGAACCAAGCTGATAAGATTAACTTTGGTGACATTAACAAGATTTCCCGGCTTTTCACTCTCGAGATTGACCACCCCCCTTGTTTTTGGCCAAGGGAAGCCCTAAAAACCACCAAAAACAATGGCAATTTCTCGGGTCTAAAACAATTTTTCCTTAAGGAATTAGTGCACAGATTTTTTTCTGAAGCTAAAGTACCTTAAAATAAACGTTTTGGATGCATAAAATCAAGTTTTTAGTGTAACGGTAATTTTGCCCAAGGGTTTTAATCCGGGTATGTTGCGTGACTGTAACAGGACAGCGAATTTCGGCGATTTTCTAAGCCCATTTTCTTGAAAGTGCGGCGGTTTATTTGTTAAATAATTCCATTTTACAATCGTCTATACCCTTCTAAGTCAAAAGAAAAAAAGTATTGATTGGTACAAGAAACTCTTTTCAGAGGAAGCCTATTTTCGCGAACGTGATTTTGCGGTATTTTGCATAAAGCATGTAACCTTGCTTTTTGGTAATGACCTTTAAATTGTAACTTTAGACGGCTGAAAACTTCATCACCCGTATAAGAAAAAAATAATTTGGAAAGAATGCTGCAATGAAAAGAAATCAACCTTACTTTGGAACAGCGGAAACCGTTGCAGTCGTACACGTATGATACAAATTATAAAGCAGACATATTAATTAGAATTAATTATAAAGAAATGAATGGACGATTTTTAAATTGTCTGTGCGACGAATTTTCAGTGATATAAAGTTTCAGGAGAATACTTTTTACTTGGATTTTGCAGAAAATGTTTGTTGGCCAAAATATGAAATTAAGAAATTAATAAACGACTTACACGTATAATTGTAGCTGCGTAATTTGAGATTGAGCAACATCTATAAATTTGTATGTCTCGCGCGCCGCTGGGTTATCAGGTTTCATTTACGACTCGCCGAAATTTGCGTACTTTCGTTGTACCAGACTTGCTTTAAAATATGAACTGTTCGTTCGCTTCACAAGAGTCACCTTGTAGTTCTTACGGATCTAGTACAAATGTTCTGCCGCTGGATGCTTGTAAAGAAGACATAACACCACAGTTACTGGGACTTGGTGTGAGTAGCAAGCGAGGATGGCGATCCGAAGGAATAGAAATCACTGAGTAGGAGCTCATCTTGAACAGAGCAGGACACTTCGATTTATCTCAAGACAGAGTAGCAGCCATGACCATCTGTCCTAAACACAGAAGAGACCTGACAGTCGACTGGAGAGGTCGTAAAAGTTCGACATGTTGCTATCCATCGCACGAAGGTCAACGCAAACAGGTCAAGGACCCACGCCGTGTCAATTACGCAACGTCTAAGGAAATCTTTGCTTTACACAATGCTGCTGTCCCAGTTGGGTCCGGTGAGTGTCTCTTATTACTTTAAAATCCTTTTGTCGATCTTACCTGGTAAATTACGTTTCCCATAAATATCACGCCACTATGGGCCTCTTCATATGAGCCCGGTTGACCGGGCTGACTCGGTTTCCGAGATCTCGCCTCGCCTCTAAATCCTTTGTTAAAGTTTTCAATGTGTTTATATGAGAGGGCGGGCTGGCTCGGTTCCCGAGATCTCGGTAAGCGGGCTGGAAATTTTGTCATATGAACACATCATCCCGGTTACCGGGATGAACGGCAGGATGAATTCTGGCGGTCCGGATGGCATCGTCTTGCATTGCCTACTGTATTTTCCACATCATAAGCATCATCCCATTTAACTGCAGTGATACAGCTTTAAGAGTTACCGATGCCAAGATAGGCCCGAAAGTTAAAATGTTTGTGTTTTGCTATGTTGCTTTGTTTCCCAAATTTGGTGCCAGAACTCGTACCCAGGATCTTTGACCTTTTCTCATCTCGGAAACCGGGCTGAAATTTCTCATATGAACCCAAGGCAAAATTCATCCCGGCAACCGAGCCAGCCGGTCAACCGGGCTCATATGAAGAGGCCCTATATCAACAGAAGCGCGGGGGGTGGGGTAAATTTCCTTGGATGTGCCATAAATCAAACAAGGGTGAGCCATCCTCGGAGACCCAGGGGCAGTCAGTCGGGTCGGGAGAAAAGGCGCGAAGAAAGTTTTCAAGCACAGACTGACTGCCCCTGGGTCTCCGAGGATGGGGTGAGCAAGCAAGATACTTTTATTCAGAACGGAAGTTAGCCTGCGAAGCGCAGACGTATTTCCGGTCGTCGCTTCTCTCCCTCCGAAAAATAACGGAGGGAGAGAAGCGACCACCGGAAATACGTCTGCGCTTCGCAGGCTAAACGGAAGCCTTTTTTGCCACAAAAAGTCTTTTCAAGTGTTGTCGTGACAGAAGCTACAGCGTGACACGCCTACTTGAACAGGAACTATAAACCACAACTGTAAACGTTTTTCAGATTATTTTATAACAGGAAAATTTTTTCAAATAAAAATAATCATTCATCTCGCGCTATTTTCTTAAAATGTTTTAAGTGCTCGTACTTTTCCACTTTCACTGATGACAAGATTGAAACTCAATGTCTATGTATAAAATTCGATTTTTGGGGTTTGAATTAAGAGTGACATTTTTAATCTTTATCCTTTTCATTTGTATTAGCTATTTGTGTAAAGTGTCGCACAGAGCATTACAGACTACGCCATGAAGAAGACTCTGAAAGAGGAAGGAGCGATCAGCAGGTTGTGTATTTGCTTTCTTTAGTCACGCAATTTAAGCTAGGCATCTGAAACACTTAACAACAGGTTTAAATATTTAAAAACCTATCCAAGACTGTAAAAGAAAACAAAAGAAGAACAACAGAAAAATCGTGAAAAAAACGTGGATGGGAAACTCGGGGGAGGGAAGGGAATTTGGAACAAAAATATCATTTGCTGGGAAGCTAGGAACTGAGAACGAAAAAGCGATAGATAGCATTGCCAAAGTTAATGTCTCTTTTTTCAGTTTGAAAATAGATGGAGTTAGATGGACTAGCTATCCCCACCCTAACTTTTTTTAGCGACCTGCAAGCTTGATGCAGTCCGACCAGTACCACTCTACGACGGCCACTTTTTGAGGGGGCGTTGTAGAGAGTGTCCTTTATGGGGGAGGGGGAAGGGTGTAAATGTGACACAAAGATTTTTATTTTGGAGAAAGGGAAGAACATTTTTACTTTCATAAATGCTTGCTCTAACATATTATTACGTAACAAATCTATCAATTAAAAAAATTATTAAAACAAAAATTATAACAAAATAAAGCGACTAAGGTATAGTGAGTACATCAGTTTTGTATAGATCGCTTTCAGTTGAAACTTCTATTTGTGTAGATATCATGACTAGTAAACTACAATAAAAGAGACGCGGCAAATCGACGTTTGCTGTTTGCCGTGATTCTAAATCTCTCTAATGTAAGGACGAGGGGTAGGCTCTAGTACCGGGAAAGGTTTGAATGCAATAGAGAGAAGTCGTTACGTCACGTCACGTTGCCATGGTCGCAAAATTTTTGGATGACAACAAGTCGAAAACTCGGTTTCAGGTTTTAGTCTGTTTGCAACTTTTAGTGGTTTTTACTCGTTAAGGAGTCCTGTAACTCCCTTTTCTGTGGCTCCATTCTCGGTAACAACGTAACAGAAAAATTATGGAAATGTAATTAATACCCCTTTTATTGCACTGACAGTCTCAAGTGGCTGGTGATGAAGATGTATTTGAACTGCCGCAGCAGAATGAAGATCAGGGGGTTCTGGTAACGTCTAATGCAGAACAAGAGATGGTTTCATCATCATCACAATCATCCCAACAAAGTATCCCAGAAGAAGAAATCAGTATCTGGTCCGACGAAGTAGAGGAACAGCAACAGAGAAGGCAGCTACTGAACGATACCATTAGCACTTTATCTGGAGGAAGAATTTCACCTATTCTGTCAACTTTGAATACGTCTTGGGATGATATATCGACAACACAGCAAAAGTACTATCTGCGAAAGGCCAAAGAAAGCATCTGCACAGCACTTTCGGTCCTTAGCCCTGGACAGGAAGAGGAATTATGGACCACTCTTCGACAGGAAAGATTAGTAAATAAGGATTCTCCTGGTGCCACTAGACGTAGAAGTTTTGATCCGAAATCTGGGCTAATCGACGTTCTGATCAAGTCATATAACCATGCCGAGTCGTGGCAAACAAAACGACAGATACTCTCTCTTTGCCAATGATTTTTAGCAGGTCCCAGTTGATGAACATGATACCAACACTTTCAAAATGGCGAATAGATGAAGCTCGACAGCATGCTACCAAAGTTGGTGAAGGTCTGCCTGTTCCGCAAGAGCCAATTTTCCGTTCCCGAATCTCACCCGTTCAAATTGATCATTTTATCGATTACATCGCAAGACCTGAGATGCTGCAGGACGTAGCATTTGGCACAAAAGTGCTTAAGCTCGATACGGGAGGAAGCATTATCATTCCGGCAGTTATAAGGACTATGATACCGTCAAGAATAATTGAGCAATACTCAGTTTACTGCAAAGAGCAGAATTTTGAACCAGCAGGACAGCGTTCACTCTACAGAATAATAGAGGTGTGTGGTGCCTCAATGCAAAAATCTTTGCAGGGACTCGACAACACTACAGCAGAAGGGACGGAGGCCATAGACAATGTCACTGACGTGCTTAAGACGCTTGGAGACTATGGATCGGAGGCTACCTGGGTAAAGGATGCAGAACAAAAAATCAAGGAGGCAAAGAGATACCTTAAGACTGAGTTTAAGTCCCATGTTGGCAGAGAGGAAACTTGTGCTGATCACTGCACTGCATGCCCTAGGTGACACAAGTGACTCCAACCTGCAAAGCATATGTCAGCACGAACATGAAACTGACTGCGAGCAATGCGAATCATTAGAGACAGTTTTGAAGGAAATTGAATCCGAGATCAACTGTGTTGAGATGCCGGAGGAGCACAGATGGCGGTTAAGCCACGACTACAAACTCTGTTTGGCATCTATCCAGGAGTGGAAGGCGCATTTGCTCCGCACAGTAAATCAAGAAGAAGGAAAGCAGTTTGCTCTTGTACATGTTGATTCAACTTCATGTTTAATCGTTATGGATTGGGCCATGAAATACCTCCCACAACGTTATCGGCAACGAATGAGTGATTTCTTCGGAAAACGAGGACGAAGCTGGCATGTGAGTGCTGTGATCACTAAGCATACTGAAAAATTCCAAGTGGAATGTTTTGTCCATCTGTTCGATAACTGCACGCAGAACAGCTTTGCTGTAGCCTCTATAATAGAGCATCTTTTAAATACCATCAAGAAAGAATCACCGGAGATTGAAAATGTTTTCCTGAGATCCGATAACGCAGGTTGCTACCATAGTGGACCTCTTTTGCTCAGCCTTCCGTTCATTGGTCAACGAACCGGCATGACAATTCTGCGTTACGACTTTTCAGAGCCACAGTCCGGAAAAGACATCTGTGACCGAAAGACCGCTCCTATGAAGGCACGCCTACGACGATGGGTCAATGAAAAACACAATGTCATCACTGCGGAAGACATGAAGACAGGACTAGAGTCGCATGGAGGAGTAAAAGGAGTCAGGGCGGCAGTTGTCAAAGTGGACACTAATAAAGAAATCACCGCCAACAAGATACCAGGTATCAGCCTTCTTAACAACTTTTCGTTTGAGGAAAACGGAATACGCGCTTGGCGTGCATTCAACGTTGGACCCGGCAGATTCTTATCATACAGTCAGCTTGAAGTTGTACCACAGGAAGAAACTGGATTGAAAGTCCTAAAGGAGTGGGGTCCACGTAGCAACAATCTTGGCTCAGTTAGCCATGCTTCCAGTCCACGAGGAGAAATATTCTCATGCAGTGAAAGTACATGCGTGCTAACGTTCAAGACTCGAGAAGAAGCGGAAGCTCACATGGACGCAGGGAAGCATGTACGTGCGTCAGATCTAGATTGTGAGTCTGTGTACGATGCGGCACGAAAGAAGTGGGCTGACCGAGTCGGAGAGATGCATGTGGCTAGCGGAGATAGACAGCGAATTGCATTTGAAGAAGCCGGGCCTTCCAGTGCTAGAGAACGCCGTAATAAAGGGTGGGCGCTTAAATCAACTAAGCGGACCAACAGGATGGAAGAGAAAGTAAAAGCCTTTCTTGTTCAGAAATTTAACCAAGGAGTAGCGGGAGGGAAAAAGGCTGATCCAATTCACGTGGCTAGAGATGAAGAGTATTAGAGATAGCAGTGGAACGTTACAATTTAAACCAGACGAATGGAGAACCGCTCAACAAATTAGTAACTTTTTCGCAAGGATGTCAGCGTTGCAGCGCCAAAGACAAGCTGATGAAATAGAGAGCCAGGAGGAGGAACAAGAAGTAACAGACGAAGACCTCATAGCCCTTGAATCAGAAGACTACATTCAAGCCATACGCCAGGAGGTTTACAGAGACATTGAACAAAATATCAGTCACCCTATTAAAGTAGAAGCAGTAAACGTTTGTGAACTTTCGCGTGCTGGAAAGCTCAGTTCGCTGAAGTTAGCACAGTTGAGAGAAGTATGCAGAGCATTAAGTCTGCGAACAAATGGTAGCAACTCAAGAAAACGTACTTTTACTGAACCACTTGATGCCTACGCTAAGTTGTGCTCATGTCGGAAATAACTGAATTTTGCACTACGTATTCTTCTCTCGCATTTTATAAAGTACATTGTTGGGCTTTGTCAGTAGTGATCGATGTAACAAATATCCTGCGAGCAGAGGCTACATTTTCGCTGTGGGAGCTGTCGTGCGAAAAGTAGCCTCTGCCGACAACCGTTCAACCGTGCATGCGCGAAATTCGTCACGCCATTCGCAAGCAAAATTAATTGTCACGTCTGTCGTCAAATGGCGCGAGTTTCGTGGGAATAAAAATAATTGCGACAACTCTGATCTGCTAAGCAAGACTCACGCAATGCTCGAAACCGGTCAAGAAAAGGAAAAAACCCGTTTTTTAAAATTTATTCGTCCAGATTTCTGGACGGATTTGAACAGTTGTCGGTAGAGGCTACTTTTCGCACGACAGGTCACACAGACAAAATGTAGCATCTCCTCGCAGGGTATGTAACAAACTTTGCATACAAAGCGAAAACTTTGAGAATTTCTGTTGGATGATGTGATACAAAAGTCGTGATGATTTTATCACTAGATAGGACAGCACATACATCGTCCTGTTGGCTAACTCGCATAGGCCAGACAATAATCATCGAAGCACCAAGTAATTGAGACCTTTGCGTGCATGATGGCAGTCTTGTATAACCCTTACGTTAAAGCAATAGTATTTTATAGTTATTTTCCCTTTATTCAAACCTAAGTGGAATATAAAATACTCATTTAAAATGGATTAGTTCCTTTATAATACAGTATTGCCGCTATTTAAACTTCAGCGAGCGGTTAGCCGTAAGAGCGATCTTTGACATTTTCCAACAAAATTCGCGTGAAAAGAGTTTCTTGTGCCGATCAATAAACTTTTGTTTTTGATTTAGGAGGGTATAGACTGTTTAAATCTGTAATTAAATAAAAAATAAGCCGCCGCACTTTCAAGAAAATGGGCTTAGAAAATCGCCGAAATTCGCTGTCCTGTTACAGTCACGCAACATACCCGGATTAAAACCCTTGGGCAAAATTACCGTTACACTAAAAACTTGATTTTATGCATCCAAAACGTTTATTTTAAGGTACTTTAGCTTCAGAAAAAAATCTGTGCACTAATTCCTTAAGGAAAAATTGTTTTAGACCCGAGAAATTGCCATTGTTTTTGGTGGTTTTTAGGGCTTCCCTTGGCCAAAAACAAGGGGGGTGGTCAATCTCGAGAGTGAAAAGCCGGGAAATCTTGTTAATGTCACCAAAGTTAATCTTATCAGCTTGGTTCTTAATGCTGAAAAAATAAAGGAAATCGGCTGACCCCAATCTTTTGGCACCGCCCGGTTTTCTCTGACAATGGCTCTTAATACCCAAACAGAAGTGACTATAGATGATCAGAAATGCCCAATTTAACCCGCAGAGGTCCCTTATCAAAATGCCACCCAATTTACTAGTTACAAACGACTTATTGACGAGATCAAGCAAAACTAACAACAAGAGAACGAATGGAGAACTGACAATTTGACTAACAATAGACGACTGTTTAACTGTGACAATAGACGGATCGAAACGCACCAATTACTGATTACGAGTCTTCATAGCCAAAAGGAAGAGAAAACAACATTGACAACTTGACTGCTTGCAATTACCTCAGATTTCAGCTGACTTTGAGACAGGCCCAAAATATTTTGAATATGCTTAAGGTGGCTCAATAGGGTTTTTCAGGGTCTAACAGTCCAGAACCATTTCTCTTTTAACAAACAATTTAAGGTGGCTCAATAGCCTTTTTTGGGGTCAATACCTCCCTAGTTTGAGCAAAAACTACATCGCCATTTACAAAGATTTGGAAAAACTACCACAGCAGTATTACAATGTAGATAAAGACGAAAATTTTTTATGATCAGGGTTACACTGACATCGGAGTTGTCATAGCAGATAAATTATATGCCATTACTTATTTTACTTGCAGCCATATTTCTTCGCACCGGAAACTGTTCTTCCAAAATCGTTCATGGGAACTTTTTCCTCCAATAGCTGCCTCAATGTTCGAGAAGTTCAAGCAAAATGTGTAACAGAGTTATCAAGTTATTTTGGGACCTGAAGTTTTTATGGTTAGAAGTATGGTAAAAACTCTAGATGTTCATCCATTATCTGTAGAAAACAAAGCACTTTTGAAATGCAATTTCATCTCATAGTAATTTCAATTCTTTTTAAAAAAGTGTGTGAAAGATCACGGAGACAGCTAAACCCTATCGAGCTACCTTAAATTGTTTGTTAAAAAAATGGTTCCGGACTGTTAAAAACTTTGCCAAGGTTTCAATTAAGCTTAGTCACGATCATTACGGAATCATGCCTACATTGTACTGATTCATGTCAATAGTAAATGCAAATTTTTCTGTCAATCGAATGTCTCCTATTAGTAAAATTCAACTAGTGGTCTATTATCAATGCTGCAATCTGATTGGCTGAGCTACTATTAGGCTATAATTATGTTATAGCACACTTCTAGCGAAAAGCGCTAAAAGCGCTAGCTTTTTGGCGGCAAAAAAGGATTGAAGTCTACCTTTTAAGTAGATATATTTTCGATATTTTTGACCAACTACACTGTAGCTGGATTTTACTAAAACAATTATTCCTCTCGCCCTCATGGCCTCTGAGTCAATAGCCCGTTTGGCCTTCGGCCTCACGGGCTACTGACTCAGAGCCCATTTGGGCTCGAGGAATAATTGTTAATTATTTGTACGTGGAAATTGGTGAAGCATCTTAATTGTTCTGCAGTCTTAAAGCATGTTTTGTGACTTTATTCAGTTGCAGCATTTCTCATAATTTTGCTGCATTAAAAAGGTGGAAAGAAAAGTCTGACGAGAATCTTAAGAAATCTTGATGGTCAAAATAAATTGACGTGAAAGAATTATGCTTTCACAAAAATAGTATAAAAGGACACAAAGCAAATCAAAAAGTCATAAAAAATCCAGGATATTTCAGTTTGATGGAAAGGATAGGTGATTTGCATATGATACCAGATGAAAACATCTTCAACCGCAAATTCAAAACTGTTCACCTTCACGTTTGTCTTTCTGGCATTCTATACATTCTACTGGCTTAAATTCTTAAAATATTTCATAAAGTCAAAACAATTTACAAGTTGAGCAACTGCATTTCCTAATAAAGAGGATAGTAGCAAAAACTCTTTTAATTAATAATCAACTTGCTTATTAGTTAATCATTTTTGTATCCTGGACACAATATGCTAACACTTCAGTTAGAGAGTCAAAGGACGCAACATGCGTCAGCATCCTTTGTGTGCATGCAAATAGTCATGGGGCGATGCTGATTAATATGTGGAATTCCATAATGTAGCACTTTAACAAGAGCATCATTTTGTTGTCGTTTCATTCTCATTCACAGAGATATCGAGCTTCTCTTGTAATAATTCCAAAATGGCTGCTTCAGTGATGCACGCAACACTCGCGAGAAACAATATTACCAATAATCATTTTCACGAGAAAAGCAAAAACTATTTACATGAGCATTAATATACTGTTAAAGTTCATTCTATCGACCAGTGTTCAATGTTCAACAACTGAAGGTTTTCAGTTCAATTTGTGACCCCTACAAGCCAGTTTACTCCCTTTGAGAGCAATGGTCTCGTGTATAAGCCGCACCCGCGATTTTTGACTCAAAATTTCGGCAAAAAGGTGCGGCTTATACACGAGTTTTTACGGTAACTTTTTCTTATCAGCTACTAGCAGAAGCAATGTCTGACGTGAGCAACAACTTAGTACCTACAAACATTCAGGAATTGTTCCTTCCACTTTCTCGTGTTCATTCATATGGCACTAGGTTGTCTACATCTCGAAACTTTTATAGAAAAAAATCGAACCTTGAAATCCAAAAAAACTCTTTCTCAAGACTTGGTGCCAAATTATGGAATGAGATACCAACCAAGTTGCGCACACTTTCAAAACACAATTCAAATTTAATATTCGTGCATCATTGCTTGATATATTGGAGACTGGCATAACTTGTTATGAAACAGATGAAATTATTCTTAAAATGAAGAAAGCAGAACCAACTCTTTTGTAATCCTGCCTATAAAAACAGCGAGCCAATGTTTTGTTTTTCCTTTTAATTCCTCCTAAGAGTTTTAAACGCATCTTTTTCATGTGTTTTTCTTCGTAAGATTATAATTTTTGCAATTAGTTAATCGCTCCATATTTATTTGAAAACTGATGAATCTCCCTTGCTTTCTACTTATTTTTTACCTTAATTTTACTGCAGTTATTTTCTTTTCGTACCATTCCTGGCCCACCTAGACTAGCTATATAGCTATTTGCAGTGCCAGGACACTTGTAAAAATATTCTTTAGAAAATTTATAATAAAGTCTTAAAGTCTTGAACAAGATGAGACTGGTAATTACTTTTGAGCAGTACCGTAATACCAAATACGTCTTCATAATATGATACGAAAGCCGAATTCAATAATTGTTTTATTATTCATTCAAAATAATTTAATTCCTTGTTTAAAAACATTGCTAAAACATGCTTACCTCCATCAATGTTAAGCTCATCTTCAAAAGACTCATAGTGCACATTTTGGGTTGTTCAGCTCTGCAAA